AACAAAATGTATTAAAGATGATAAAAATTAAGAGACAAATTTTAAATACACCTATAACAATAAGAGAAGTTTTCAGAGGCTAGTAAAGAGAATAAAGCAAAGGCCTCTATTCCAGATGCCTTTCTGGCTTCTTATTATAAATGCTTTGAGGATTACGTTTTACAGGCTTTACAACAAGCAATGAATATTATTTTGCAGAATGGAAGTATTCTTGACAGATAGAAAGAGGCTCAGGCCCAGACTTCAACAAGAAATTATTTATCAATATCTTTATTGAATAATGACTGTGGGTTGTTTACAATTATTTTGACTGAAAGTTTGAGAAATAATTTTACAGGACTTTATTCATAAAAATCATCATAAGTTTTAATCTAAAACACTATTATAGATAATATTAAAATGTGCTGGGTATTCTGAATGTAGCATTCAAGCAATGTTTTTTTTTAAAAAAAATAATCTAAATTTGTCTCATCTTTATTTTTCTCTTTCACGTTTACTATATATTTTTCTTTCTTTTTTACTTATGTAAAATCTTTTGCTAAATTAAAAGAGGGAGGGTGGGAGGGAGGGTGGAGGAGGGAGAGAAGAAGGAAAGATCCAAAAATAGGAAGAAGATGAGGAGGAAGAGAAGGAGCAACTTTTGAGAGTGCTACAGACCATTATATTTCTTTTTAGAAAGTGCTTGCCATATTTTGACCCCTTTTTTTAAAAGATGCCAGCAAATCTACATGTTTCATGGATGTTAAGTCATCTACCATGCAGAGAGAGCACCTTCATTATCTACAGCCTCATGTATCTTCATGTATCGGCACCAGGCAACACATTGATTTTTATAATAATAAGATGACAAGGGATTTCAAAGCTGTAAGTGTGATAATGCAGTGTTGGTTTTTCATGATACATTCCATTGATGTTTTTTTCCTGAGATACATAATCTATTCGGTGGAATAATTGCTAGCCAGACAGTGAATGGTGATGAAGCTTAGAACATTGGAGATAAAACACAAATCAAGTTAACTTGAAAAGGACTCACAAGTGTCATAATTTTGAAATGGCACTTTGGAACAAGAAGTAATTAGGGGCTTGAATAAGATATCATTATTATTGATGGTGGAATCCTGACAGTGACAGAAATGCATACCTTACTGCTCCAGTCACCTATTTTTTTACTCAACCCTGATCTTCAGAAATCATGTGGGAGTTTCAGTTGTGAACAATACCAGTTTCATTAGTTTCCACCACTGACCATTACACAATTTACCAAGAGAGCTCAAAAAAGATGATTTCCAGCATGTGGTTTCAATATTGTGAATTGGAAAGCTCTCCTTCCCCTTCCCTTCCCTTGACAGTTGGCTCCAGTTGTGTGAAGAGATAACATGATGGCCATCCTCTTCAAAAGATTCTTATTCAGAGAGTACAAATAATTTGTTCCCCTCACCAAATCTTAACATGGACAAAAGTGTATTTTTAATTAAATATGACTGTATCATCCTTCATATGGCTCTGATTGTATATGCTCTGCTCAGGATTACATATCATACCTTTAGATTGTTTTCCCCCCCCCTTTTTATGGTTAACCTTTCGATTCTCATGAAACATTTCCTCTAAATTACTAATTGTACAGATGGTCCTCATTTAGCAACTGCCTTGGACAATGACCGTTCACAGTTATAGTAACAGTACACAAAGAAAAGTAACTTTGTGACCAATTGTCGCATTTACACAATTTATCAAACAGTGCAAAGTTGATTTAAGATAATATGCACAGTCACAGTTTCAATTAGTGACTATTTAGCTTAACAACAAGTTACCAGGCTCAAGTGTGGCTGTTGAATGAGGACTACCTGTATACTCTGGACAAACAAGCAGCCTATATATGCTCTTTGTTTTTCATCATTAGACAAGAATTAAAAAAGAGTGTTCTATCAAAGATATGATTAAATTAGATTGCATCATATCTAGCCTTGCCCAACAAGAAGCTTGATATTATTTTGTAGTCTTCATATTGCCTTTTGATTTCATCTCAAGAGAAAGGTTGTGGGATAAGTTAAAGACAATTTCTATTGACTATAGAAATGTATTTTAAATTCTTTCTATTGTGGATGTTGGTCAGGGAAGCCATTGGATATTCCAACCACCGGAGGAATCAAATATTTCAGCACCTTTTTGGCTTAATTTGTTGGTTAACAATTTGGGTGCTTGTCCTGCCATATTTTTCAGAGTATAAGATGCACTGGAGTATAAGATGCACAAGGTTGAAGAGGCAATTTTTTTTTAAAAAAAAGTAGGTAGGTAGATAGAGGGATAGAGAGGGAGAGAGAGAGAAAAATACAGTAGATAGGTCGGGAGAGAGAATGAGAGTAGGTAGGTAGGTAGATGTTTCCAGGTGTATTTATCCATGTGCTGGAGAAGGAAATC